TGTGGCTACGAAAGCTCGTGATGATCATCAACGAGTTGCAGACACCTCAGAAGAAGGAAGAAGAAGCGTTCCAGCAGTGCAGCTGGACTATGCTTATGGCAGAACAGGAGGCAACAACAAGGCTGACCTCACTACTGTTTTGGTAGGCGTGGATTGTGAAACACGCATGCTGCTTGTTGCCATTCCAGTTGAAGGCAAAGGTGCTGATCTTCGAGGCCAAGCTGAGCATGTGGTTCGGTTCACATTGATGCTCAATCAATATGGCAATGTTGAGATAATTGGAGACAATGAGCCGACGATGAGGAACCTGTTAAGTTATGTGCAGAGCATTCGTCATGGCCTTGGATTGCAGACCACAATCACAAACTCTCAGAAGAAGGGTCAGACGAGTCAGGTTGAGCGTGCAATCCAAACCCTTCGAAAGCAAGCTTCCTGTTTGATGCATATGGCAGAGGACAAATGTCTGATCTCTTTAGAAGGAAGTCACCCCTTGTGGTCTTGGGTCTATCTGCATGCAGCTTGGTTGATCAACAGATTTGCAGCGCATCGAGCTCTACAAGCAACTCCCTTTGAGCTGGCAACCGGCCGTAGGTATGCTGGAAAAGTGGTATGCTTTGGAGAGTATGTCATGGTGCTGCAACGTCAAGCTGGTGTCAAGCAAGGTCCTCAGTGGCTACCCGGCATTTGGGTCGGCAAGACGAATGAAGAAGATCTGCGTTTGGTGATTTCTGGAGATCGGTTGATGAGAGGAAAGGCCATTAGAAGAACACGTGAACCTTGGCGTTCAGTATACCTCTTTATGGTCAAGGTGAAGCCTTGGAGGAACCCTCATCAACGAAGACCCATGAAAATCATGCCATCGACACCAATGGTACCTCGACCAGTACGTGGACCTGGAAAGGCCAAAGAGAAAGATCAACTCGATGAGGCTGAGAGAGAAGGTGAGCAAGCTGGTGGCATTCAGTCAGGAGGTCGAGATCTTGATGCTGAGGAGGTGGAGCGCTATGCTGTTGAGCACCCTGGTGAAACACCCAGAGATGAAGAGAAGACGCAAGCAAGAGGTTCAAAGAACGGAGCAGCAGATGAGCCCGAGGACAAGCCTGCCGATAAGTACATCTGTGTCCCTCCATTGCCGCTTGGACTTGACAACAATCCTCAGGAGATTGGTGATCGAGCGCCTAAGACTCCTGAACTTCCTCTTCCTAGCGCTGGAAGCGAGCAAGTGTTGGATGACAGTGCGGTGGAGGAGCGTCGCTCAAAGGCATCGAGGACAGATCGAACAGAAAGTCCATGCCCCGCACTTTGCTGGAGGTGTGCAGGAGGTGAGAGAATTGGCAGTGGATGAGTTTCCTTGGGAGCAGGAGGTTGCTGACTTTGAGGCAGATGATGGATCGCCCTTCCTGGAGGAGTTGTTCTCAGATGAGGTAGTTGATGAAGGGACTCCGCCGGAGATAATCCCAAGAAAACTTGCAAAGATCGAAGCAGCTGCTGGCCAAGAAGAAATCAATCGACTCCTTGACATGGGCGTGTTGGAAGAGCCAAGTTTGGAAGACCTGGCAGAAGGGAGCATTCTCACGACTCGTTCAGTTTTTGACTGGAGAGTGAGAAATGGAAGATGGAAGCGGAGACGCAGGTTTGTGGCGAGAGAGTTCAAAGGCCACGACCACACCGCAGCAGAGACCTTCAAGCCTGGCAGCAACGAGATTGCTGTTGGCTACGCACGCGACCCTGCAGTGGAACTTGAGCTTCATTGACGTCAAAGATGCATTTTTGCTGGTTCCGCAAACTCGCCTGGTGTTAGTTGAACAGCCATCATGGTGGAGACCTGAGGAGAACAAGAATGATGGCTCACGTCGATACTGGCGACTTGCAAGGTGCCTACCAGGACAGAGAGATGCTGCCCTGAGGTGGTTTGATCACCTCAAAGATGCTCTTGAAGAACTTGGCATGGAAAACCATCTTTCCTTGCCTTCACTTTTTCGTCACAGTTGGGCATTGTGTGCCATGTTGATGACTTGATTGTTGCTGGTGCGTCCATTGACCTCAGTTGGTTTCTTGATAAAATGAGGGACAAGTTTGTCATCAGCGAGTCTGGTATTCTTCCACAAGTTGGTCAAGCTGAAGATGATCCTGTGCGAAGTCTCAAGAAGAGACACTTCTTCACGGCAGAAGGCATCATCATTTTGCCTCATGAGAAGTATGTCCCAAGCCTGGTAGAGTTGTACAACCTGGCATCGAGAGCGGGAAAAGCCACTCCAGAAAGCGCGCAACTTGACCTTGAAGGAGCAGCAGAAGATGTTCTGGCAGGTGGGGATCAACACAAGTTTCGATCAGCTTTGGGGGCTCTACTCTACATCTCCCAGGATAGAGTGGATATTCAGCATTGTGTTCGCAACCTTAGCCAGTTTATGGCCAGTCCCACGAAGAAAGCTGAAGTTGAACTTCGACATTTGATCCTCTACCTCAAAAGGACAGAGAACTATGGCATCCTTCTCCCGTACACCAAGTACAAGAGCAAGAAAGCAGAGGTGTTGAGAGGTCAAGATGACTGTGGAGAGCAGGATGCACTGGAAGCCTGGACTGACAGTGACTGCGCAGGAGACCGAAGTTCAAAGCAGACGAGACGCCACAGTGTGAGCAGTGCGATGATCTTCCTGAATGGCTGCTTGATTGCTGCTTGGTCACGGTCTCAGAAGTCCATTGCCTTGTCATCATGCGAGGCAGAATTCCTGGCGTCAGCTGGAGGAGCTGCAGAAGCTTTGCAACTCAAAGAGCTTTGGAAGTTTTTGAGCAAGAGAGAAGTGGCCATTACAGCCATCACAGATAGCTCTTCATGCAGGGCCTTTGCAGAGAGGCTGGGTGTAGGAAGATTGAAGCACATCGACGCCCGCTACTTGTGGATGCAACTCGAGGTGAAGAAGAAAAGCTTGAGGATGGAAGGCATTCCCACATTGTGGAACATGGCGGACCTTGGAACCAAAAGACTCTCGAGACGGAGGAGAGAGTTTTTGATGCACCTCATTGGAGTGATGGAGATGCATGCTGAAGGTGCTGACCAAGTGTTCTGTCATGTTGGCGAAGATGCTTTCTACGAGGAACTTCGCAAGAAGGACTTGGCGAAGCAGATGAAGGAGGTAAAGAATGAGATGGTGAGGTCCATCGTCGAGGAGAACAGCGTGACCTCAGTGAAGATCTCAAAGTCCATGGTCAAGATGGTTACATTGTTCTTGATGCAACCTCGAGCGTATGGGCAGTATGCCGAAGAGAACAATGACAGCTACCAGAATGAAGACATCAATGGAGAGAAGACTGGTAGCTACCGAGTAGGATTCTACATCCTTGTGTTCCTGGCGTACGCGATCATGGTGTTCGGCTTTGGCATCTACGTTGGGTATGTGAAGTGGAAGAAAGTGTTCTGGGTGCATCGAAAGGTGAAATCCCTGATCTTTGAAGATTGGTTCACCGACTTTCATCGAGAAGATGACCAACAGCCTACAAGATCTGGTTTGGATCTCAGGGAGTGGGCTGTTAGGCACTCAGTGGAGACCACTGGTGGTGAATGGGCGCGCGCAGTTACACCACCATTGCCTCAGCCTTTGAGGAGAAGACGTGGAGCTTCAAGGGTTGGACGCCAACGAGAAGGAGTAGATGGAAGCCTCGATGAGGAAGAAGAGAATTCCTTTGACAGCCAGGGAGCTTCAAGGAGGAGACCACGATCTGAGCGGGCAGAGTCAGAGCAAGAAGTTGCCAGAGATGAAGTGACAGTGGAGAGCTACCTCACAGATTGGGACCCAGAACTTAGCAGGATGAGGCCCTACAGAATCCTGCAGAATGGAGAAGATGCAGAAAGTGGTGAGGAGTTCTTCATGCTGAGCCCAGACCATGGGTACAGACGACACTACCGGCCAACATACTCCGAGGGAGATGAAGAGGCTGGCGCTGAAAGAACGGATGTTGATGAAGATGCTGCTCGTGAAGCTCGAGCAACACTAGGCAGAGAAGAAGGTACAACCTTACCCGACGACGACTACCTTTGGGAAGACTATGACAGAAATGAGCCACCTGAGGCCTTGGATTGGACGAAGCTTGAAAACTGCATCCGGTACATGAGTGAAGATGAAGAAAGACGGACCCGAAGACTTTTAAGCAGTGGTTTGTTTTCGAGGTCACAAATGACCGAGTATGTGCAGGCTCGTTTGACAGCAAAGTTTGGTGAATGGTATCCATTCATCAGATTTGACCATGCCCTCAGCTGAACGCTGAATACAGAGCTGGATTTGCAGCTTTTTGTGTGGCTGTCATGTCGTCACAGTGGGAAGTAGATTGGAACCGCCGTTTGGAGCAATTTGCCCGGAGCGGTCAGGTGTAGAAAAGACCTTCACGTTGTTCGCTCTTTTGGTGGGGTGTCAGAACTTTACATACAGAGCACCTCACTAGTCACTAGAGTTCACGACCGGCCGACAGTGGCCCAAATCCTCTCCGCAGAAAAGGAGAGCGGTCGGCGCGTTTGCTACCTTTGACATCTTTCAACTACATTTTCTTCTATGCAACATCCAAGTCGACCAAAAAGATACGAATCAACAGTTCAAATAATGACTCTTCAATTCGAAGGAAAACACACCTTTCCGCAGGTTTTTAAGTGAAAGAAACTTGTGTGTTGAATTGCAACGTGTTGCGACTTAAGAGCAGTTATCATGAAAGAACTCTTGGCTGAACTTTTGGATGATCAGACCTTCAACACCTTTTCCGAACTTGTTTCCTCGCATTCCTAACAAAAATGAGCGTTTCGCTGTAGCGAACCGCTCGACACAAACACTTTCCTTGGGAAAACGTGGGACATTTGATGCACCGGCAAAGACACTTCCAAAACACATCTATTGTAAATACCCACTAAAAACAACCAAAAGCAGCGAGCATGCATTTGCAGGGCGGCGTTGTATCAGACGCGTCCCTTGTTTTACAGCTGGGACGCCTGTCTTGTGTGCGTTATGCATCTGCAGGAATGCCTTTGGACTCATGGGCAGCACCGCTGTGATGGCAATGGTAGAATGTGATGGTCCACCTGAAACTTCTCACCCACTGCGGGCTTGAGCCTTATCGTGCATGTTCCGGTTGACAATTTCCAAGAAGTGCCATGTGTTTGCTCTTAGACAGATGCTTTCTTTAGGTTGTAATACTTTTGACGCAGGTGACGGTTGCAAATCTCGGGGATTCTCGCGCTGTAGCTTGCAGAGCTGGTGAGGTGGGCTCACTTCGGCAGAGTTGGAGAGGATTACCTGGCAACTGCCTATTGCCTTCAGAACAGCTTGGATGAGATCGAACTCAGGCAGTTGCTTTGTCTGAAGACCACAAACCAGATTTGTCCAATTCTGAGTTTCATTGCCGGCGTGGTGTCCTGAGAGTTCTAGGAAAATCATTTTGTAGCTCACACAGCTCATTGGTCACATTAGGGGCCGCAGGGCCGTAGGGAGGACATAACTTGATTGGATCAAGATTCAAAACGGTCTCTGAATCTGATTCATTTTTGCTTTCAGTTGCTAAGGCCGGCAGAGCGTGCACGAATTGAGAACGTTGGATACTTCGGAGACAAATCAGAGACAAGTCACCCTCAAATTGTAGTTCAAACTAGAACAGTCGAGGCTGGTGGCTCAGTTGGCGCAGTTGGCCCTTGCCACCGTATCGACGGATGGGGCCTGCACCTCGGAACCTGTGTTGTGAGGTGGTCATTTGAGACACTTGTATCGTTCTGTATCAACTCCAAAGTGTTCCTTTGTTTGATCTGATGTTTTTTTAAGTCTGGCTTGAAGCAAGCCGCAGCAAGCATTTCAGGATTGAATCTATCACGAGCACTTGGAGACTTTCATTACAAAGCTCGTGATGCCACGTGCTTGGACTTGGACGACTCCTTTTTGAGAAAAACACATCTGACCGCATGGACCTGTTGACAAGTCTTGTATGCCAGCCAAGTAGCCATGAAAATGAAGAAATCTGACGGCTTAGGACCTTTTGGCGCACGAGCAGAAAGTCTCCATAGAGCCTGATGTGACAATTCTCGAGGTGTTTTGCAGTAGCAGCAATTTCTTGCTATAGAACAACCTGACATACTGACCAACAAAGTCACAAACTCACAATAATTACTTCAAAACGGACAACTCACATACTACCTTTGTAGTGCTCTATATAATGGGAAAGCTCTGGGGTTTAGGCTTAGGCAATTGAAATTCCTTCGGACTTCGACGCGTAGTCTGAAGCTCTTTGTGCACCAGCAGCACAGGTCACTCCTGAGGACGAATTTCTCTTCCTTGGCTGCGACGGAATCTTTGAGCTAAATTCCCCTCAGGCTTGGATTTCACAATGCAGTAATGAAGCAGCCAACCATTTCCAAGATTCTATTTCGTCCACTTTGTCACTTTTGTCCATCATGGCATGCGCATTGTATCGCCTGGTCTGCTTCCTGCGTCTTGGAACTAGGTCTGCACAGGGGTTGAGCAAGCATTTGTTTTACCGCAGGGCCTTAGGGATTCTAAGACTGTGCTGCACAAGAGCTCTATATAATCTTTTGATGCTTCTCTTATCTTCGCTGTGTAATACCTGTCGGACAGCTCTACAGATCAGTAGATGTGTGTATATACACATGCATGTGTTTGCTTTTGCTAATCCCATGCATGTCAGACAGGTGAAGTTGTCCTTCTCCTGCAGTGATCTCAAGTTGTATCTTTGCAAGGTTTCTGTTTGGCGGAGCGGGATTGGTGATATGAATTGTGGCTTGCTGCGCTTGCTGTTTCCTGAGTCAAAACGGTGGTGTAAATGCAAGTGATCTCTTCCAGTTTTGAAGAAAGAAGGCTTGATGTTCTTTGGGGAAAACATGTCGTTCAGCAACTCCTTTCAAGTTGACAAAGGTGGAGACGGGGGTAAAATAATGAAAACTCTCCGACCTCAGAAAGATTGGCCTTGATGTTTCACCACTTAAAAGAAAGGTTGTCAAAACTCTGGCCAGATCTCTTCCAACTTGACAAGATCGGAGACTTGATGCTCTTTGGGTGACTGGTGTGGAATTCCATCGGTTTCTGTGCCATTCTGTCGAGATTTCAGTCATGGATAGAAACAATAGGTTGTGAAAATCCTGTGCGTCCCCTTGCATGTGGGTGCTGCTACATACAAATTTCCTTACGTTAGCAAACATATGTTACTTCCAGAGGCCTCCCACATAATTATGATTGTCTCTGATAGTATCAATCTTCCTTCCCATCTGCCGGTTCAACTCCACCCGGGTCCGTTCTGCTGGGGAGTCAGTTTCGTTCCTGCAAGGCATGAAGAACCATCCTTATTGTATACAGAATTGGTCGCCATGAAGCCCGTGTTACAAAAGTCGTCAAATACAATGAGAAACAGTTGTACCAAAAACAGTGCAAAACTCCCGCAGCGCTGGTATATTATATAGTTTTTTGACACCACAGAACACAAAAGACATATCCAGCACAAATTTCGACAAACAAGAAAGGAACACACCAACAAAAGCTACAAAAGAGCGAACCACGACCATAGCACCAAAGAAATTTACATTTTTGGCCCATATGTCGCACCTGCGATTCATCCACCTTCGTAGATGTTGCCTTTGCCATTTACTCATTTCCCACATGACCTGGAACAAGACAAGCCCGTTCAAATAAAGAGACAGATAGAGAGAGAGAGGCCAAAGCAAAACCAACAAGCAAGTCTTCTCAATCAAAAAACTTCCTTCTTAAGAGTTTCCTGCTTTAATGGAGCAAGGATTCCGTTTCCTCTATCCGATCTTTTTTCAAGGGCTTTCTCCTTCAGAAATCTCACTTGTCTCAAATTCATTCCTTTTTGACCTGGACACCCACTTACAATATCGTGTGAGTTCTTCTTTCAAAGGTTGCAAGGGTCAGCCATGTTCAAAATGTAAGGCTAAGACCATGCGCGATGTTCGACTGTAAGTCATGATTAGAACAATGAGCAACAGTTTTCCTTTCTTGGAAGTGAACGTCCTCACAAAGGGTTCATCGACTGAGGCACCAATGGATCACCTGTTTTCAGGGCATGTTGGTTGCCGTAGCACCGGCAAGTGCTGAAAAGAACCATTTCCTTTGAGGTTTTGCACAAACAGGTACTGTATAAACTATCGGACCTACAATGTTTATATCCAAACAAACAGGTACTGTAACATCATTGATCAAGCGCAGGCTGTGGTTTTGCCCACCATCCAGAACAGACCTGAAAAAGAGCGAATGTCCACAAAGGCCAGATTTTGGAGCCGGGAATGCTGCATACTGACGGACAGCCACTTAAACTATGTTTGTTCTGAACAGGCTTAACAATGATGTTCTAGGTGATGCTTTGAGTGGTGTCAGTGTAGATATTCTAAGAAACGGGACTGCGCATGTTAAAGGTAAAGACTGGGAACATGGCAACGTTCTAAGCCTTAAATGTTGGTAACACAAACCCAACTTGGTCTGAACCAACTTTGAGGGTATTCATCCTCTATATGGGACTTTCTTTGTTGAATATCATCCCTCTTATTTAATGTAATTTGTTTAAAGCACCTGACATATATAATGGTTGATCCAATCTATGCCTGTTACGTCAACCAAAGGTATGTATTGTGCAGGGCTACTTCGGTGTACCACTCTCCTCCCATATATGACATTATGAGGCTAAATGCGTACATTGACCTATTAGTGGGTGCCAAATGTACCCAAACAACTAAGCCTAAGCAATGGCCCGTCTTGGTCCTGCACCTCTATATGGCATATGCACATCTTGGAATGACAGATGTTTTAAGGACAGTCCTTGCAATGCACTGTAAGCAACACTTTGCACGTTTAAGCATGTTTGAACATAGAACAGGAACTGTAACGTATTCCGTAAGAATGTGAGGAGCTAGACAAAATGCAAGAGGATTGGTTGGTTTGTCATTCCCTTACATGTACAGTGACTCTTCTCATTTTGGCTGGCTCGTTCCTTCCTTTTACTACTTTGGTTTGCTTTCCTTCTTCTGATATATCATATACTATGTCTATTTTCATGTCTCTTTTTCTTGCCCTGTCTCCTCAACGAACTGCTTACTTAAGGTCTCCATAGGCTTGTATTGCTTGTGAAAAAAGAAGATGCAGACGACTTGCAACCATGCTGTGAACCCCATGACTCGTGACACTTTAACAATCAGGCCACACGCCCACAACGGCCTGCTCTCATTGTATTTTTCTTCGTCATCTGGCATCATCAGCTTGCAAGACAAGCTGGACACTGCTGCCAGCTGTCCTCTGGTCCCACTTGTTCCTCAAGTAAATAAAGTCCAGGTCCACTTGCCATTGACTTTGATTGAGAGGTTGATGCTTCCGGGCAAAAGGTGGTGAGCGTTCCAGGCAGCTCTTCTTCAGTGTCAACAAACATCAAGGCTCGATTCGATTTTCTCCAAGTTCACCAGAATTCCACCCTGGAACCTTGGAATCCTGGGCACTGTTGCTGGATGAAGGCTTGGCAGGGTGAACTGGTTGGCACAGGACAATGGATCTGCATCATTGCAGCAGCCAAGGGAGGGCATGGCGACTTCAGCAAAGGCCTTGAGCCCATCAGAGGAGCCGACCAGGTAGCCAAGCAAATAAACGCAACCAAATATTTGCAAAGCTCCTAACGGCATCTCAGCATCATTGAGCTGCAGTGGCTGTGTGCTTCTACGCAGCATGCCGGTGGAGACTTGGGGATTCAAAACGCAAACTGGTTTGGTCTGCATACTTTTGGACTGCACCAGGATGGGGCGACTTCAGATCCCTCACCAGACGATTCGCTTCATGCGTCTCAAGACAGCCACTGAACAAGCAAGCGTTGGTTTTCCCAGTTGTTCCTTTCAACTTCCCAAGTAAAGGAAGCAAGCCTTAAGCACATCTCAGCACAGGCGCCAAATCAAACCATCAAAGCCATCCATCCACGGCATGTCACGGTCAATTCTTCATTGCGCCCCTCCAAACCGTTCTCCCGCCCTCGACCCTCATCGACCCTCATCAGCTGGATCCCCCGCTTCGAAGGCCTCGGCCTGGAGCATCCGTGGATTTTCGAGGTGCCCTTGGAAGCATTTGGAAGCATTTTTGAGATACCCTCTCCAGGGAATCCTATCTTGGAACGGTCTGGCGCTGTGATCGGCTGTTAGGTGCTGTAATTGGAAATGCCTTGCGACGCAATGTGGTGTTGGGTGCTGTTATCGGAATCCCAACCTCATTGTAAAAGCCTCTGACTCTGACTGAAATCATCGTTAATGGTTGCGACTTGGACTTGGAGGCAGGGCTGCTTTGTTCAACAAGTCGCATTGGTGTGGTTGCTTGTCTTCGTGCGTGTCCAAGAACGTTGATGGTAAGTCGGCGCGACACAGAACGTGATATGTCATCCCAAACCTGACTGGACTGGAACCAATGATGTATGGCGGTCACCAAGCTCTCACAGAAGTGGCCGCTCCACAAAAGGTTGATAAGGTTGAAATTGAGGAGGCAGGGTGCGCCTTGGAAAGATTTCAATGTGTGCTGTTACCTGCTTGGTTCGCACACCATTTGCCTGAGATGGAGGCTGCGCAGGGCGATGTGTTGTTCTTTTTGAGGGCGGTGAATGTTTATAGGCTTGACTTGATGGGTGGCTTCAACGTGGATACGCCAGGATGCTGCCCCCGAAGAGGAGGGCATTGTTTGGATTGGGTTGCGCGTGGGTAAGTTCAACACGGATGGGTAGCAAGATGATTGAGGCCCTTTGTAATGGACAAGCCAGAGGGCGGTAGGCTGCGCCGGCGGGGTCGGAAGCATACCTGTCTCCAATGCAGCTCACTCCTGCTACGCAGCAAAAGGACTTACGCATAGCAGTGCGACAGGTTCTTGTTGAACTTGGCAACACACGCTCTTTCGGTACCGGCATAAGCATTTTTGCAGTTCTGATGGCGCTGTCTGTGGGTTGCAGGACTATATAGTTCCCCAGATAGCAAGAGCCTTTGGGACTTCAAGTATAGGAAGAGGTGCCTGTGTGTGCTTTGGAGCATGAGTGCTGGTGCCGCTGCATGGTGCCAGGTCCAGATGTGTGCGGCCATGCACACGTCTATTGCTGCTGTGCGCGTTTTGGAGCCTGGCCGTTGCTGCCAGTTGTTGATGGTGGTGCGCTTTTGGAGGCTGGGCGCTGGTGCAGGGTGCCGCTGCTAGATGTGCTTTGGAACCTGGGTGCTGGTGCCACCTTCCGCTGCCAGATGTTTATGACCGTGTGCCGTTGCAGGGTGTTGCTGCAAGATGTGTATGGCTGTATCCGCTTTGGAGCCTGGGTGCTGGTGCCGCTGCAGATGCCCAGTGGCCGTGCGGGCTTTTGAGGTTGGTGCTGGTGCAGGGCAGGTATGTCACAAAGCACATACCTAACTGATCTGGGGTCTACGCCGACATTTTTTGGTGTTTTTTTGTTTTGCTGTAAACATCTGGGAAAGTTGACTGCTCAAGATTCCCGTGGCATAAGAGGAAACTTTGTTACAAGCAGGTTGGATTTCCTGGTATATCGCACTACTCGACAAAAGCCTGTTAGCAACAAACTTCAACACTGTGGTTGTGCTTTATGTTTTCGGAGCAGCAGAATCAGGACATATATAAGCGAAGGAGTGCACTCCCAGAACGTGTGCAGGCTGTGGTGGACCAGATCCGTGCTGGGATCGGCCAGGGCAGGCCCAGTTTGGCAGAATGGTTGACATTGAAAACACAGACTCACATGCAAACACACATTCACACATCTTCATACCTGCCATATATATATATTATTGTTCTTATTCCCCAATAGCCATGCTATGGGGTCTTGCAAAACTAATAGGCGGACGGGCGCCGTCGGGTCACCGTCAGAGCTGGTGGGCGGATGGTGTCCCGGTCATGTTTTGATGGCGTCCGGGTCATGTGATGCTGGTGTCCCGGTCATGTTTTGATGGTGTCCCGATCATGTTTTGATTGTGACCCAGTCATGTTGTGATGGTGTCCCGGTCCTGTTTTGATGGTGTCCCGGTCATGTTTTGATGGTGTCCCGGTCATGTTGTGATGGTGTCCCGGGCATGTTTTGATGGTGTCCCGGTCGTGTTGTGACGGTGTCCCGGTCATGTTTTGATGGTGTCCCGGTCATGTGATGGTGGCGCCGTCATGTTGTGATGGTGTCCCGATCATGTTTTGATTGTGTCCCAGTCATGTTGTGATGGTGTCCCGGTCGTGTTTTGATGGTGTCCCGGTCATGTTTTGATGGTGTCCCGGTCATGT